AAGATATATCAAAGCAACTAGAGGGTCCAGAAATTACTATTTTACCAGATAAAGGTATAGATCAATATAAGGGACTATATACCTTTCCGGACGGGTCCAAGTTTGAAATTTTACTGAGCGCGAGGGATATCAGGTCCCGACTCGTCCAATGTGTGTGGTGGCTGTTCATTTCGTGACAGTGGAGATAATCTAACTCATACAGACTGAAGCCATGCGGGTAATTCTGGGATGCACAAGAGATACGCCGGTAACATGAATGCCATATATACTTGCACTACTGCCTACTATTGCAGATAGCCTAAATGTTCTGCAAGAAAAGTCAGGGTAGATGCAGACATGAAGCCACTCCGACACGAAGCCCTGGTTAGAGCTAAGGGTCACAGAAGAGAAGAGAAAGGTCTTGGGTGGAGACACAACCAGACTTGTGTGCAAGCTTGATAAATTTGTACTAGGTGAGGATTGGGTCAAAGTGTCGGAGTAAGTTTCAGACTTGTGTAGGATTCTTATCCCTTTGGGTAGTGAGTGCAGGGACTGGCCAGCTGGTGCTGTAGAGTCAGAAGTTTAACAAATGATTCATTACAATTCCCGCCCAAATGATGTGATTATCTATACAGATGGCTCTGTGTCGAGGGGCAGACGAAGTGCACGAGGGTTCAAAGCAAAAGCAGATGGTCGTCTCTTAGTGCAATAAAACCTTGCATTTGATATCACAACGTCTAGCTTGACAATTGAGGTGGAGACAGTCACTGCTGCTTTCCGCTGGCTTGAGAATCAGCTGTACACACATGTCATGATTGTAACTGACTCACAGAGCATGTTAAGAAAGGTGGAGACATATGCTCCGTGCAGAGTGGCAAGCTGCACTTCAGAGGTCCCGGGTAGTTAGCATCCGTTGGATATTCTCTCCAGGTTATGCTGGTGTGTTGGGAAATAAGCAGGCAGATAGACTGGCCGGTTCTGCACGACTTGGTGGTAAGTGATGTATGACAGGTTAGATGTTGTGAGGGCCCTCTGGGATCGAGTAAACAGTGCGTAAGCGCCAATTATTTCATTACGGTCAGAGGAGAATTTTGCTGCGAGGAGTTGCCAGGGGATCTGGCAACACTCAAGGGGGAGACAGATTTACAGTCAGACAGTTCCTGGTGCCATCGGAATTGGAACTCTTCGCTTGCTGCTGAAGATATAGACGTAGCGCTCTGGGAGTCTCCAGAGTGCTATGATGTCGATTCCTAATTCAACCATTTATTTAATCAATTCGGACGCAGACGGTCTTCCATGTCCTGATGTCAAACCGTACGGCATCTCCCCTCTCTCTCTCTTTCTTGCTCTCTCTCTCTTTCTTTCTCCTCTCTCTCTCTCTCTCTCTCTCTCTCTCTCTCTCTCTCTCTCGATCTCTGCCTCTTATCCCCTCCAACTTTCCCAACGTCACAATGTACACCAGTCTCCTTCATATGCTATGACCAAAGAAGGTAGAGTACCTCCTTCTAACGTGGGCAGTCAGTTCTCTTCGTGAGTCAGTTTTATTCCAGACATCTTTGTTAGTCTCTTTACCTGTCTATGGTACTCTCATTATTCGTCTAACCTCATCTCAACCACTTCCAAATAATTCTTACATTTTAACCAAATGTTGCGAAATTTCACCGGAGATAAAATCAAATGAGCAAGAGCAGCCAACTAGGCGTAGAATCAATTGAGACAACTCAACCATTGTTACATGCACAAAGTTCATCTAAATACACTCATTGGTTACTTACTAGATCAAGTATTTGTCTATTGCTGTCAGTTTCGCTGGTAGTTTTTTTTAAAGGCTGTATTGCAATTTTAGTAATAAGTTATAAGATGTTCAACATGATTCCGACAGTAAAAGTAAAAGATTAAAAATATAATATTAATAGCAGATTCGAGAAGGCAGTCCATCAGTAAACAACGTGTATTTTACAGTTTTCTCTGCGACGGGGGACATGGAATCAGTGGAATTAATTAAAATTAAAGGGAAAAAATATGCAGCATCAGTAACGTAATGGAACAGAAAAACTATGTAAATCACAATTAAAATCCAGAAGGGTTGAACAGGATATCGTTAAGTTACTACTAACTTAAAACTACACTAGCTAGACCAGTTCGGAGTACTGTACACACTTATCATCACATGATATTATCATATTTCAGTTTCGTCTTCTTTTTCTTTTGTCGTCTCACCGATTATAATTTACACTGATACTAAGTTTTAACCTAGTGTGGTGGTTTTCCATACTTATTTTGGTCGTGTGGCTTGCTTAGTTTATGGATTTGTTCATCTTTTTGCAGGTTTCAGCCACACCTTTTATCCATGTCTTTCTTGGTCTTCTTTTCGCCTTCCTAGATCTCACTAGATGGCCAAAACATTTCTCATCACATCGTAATGAATTAAATAAGACTAAGGCGAGAAACAGACAGGCGGTTTTATGTTATCACAATCAACATCACTGCACATTGGGCATTCCCATGCGTGCTCAGTTCTTTGATGCCGCAACCACTTCAAGGTACTTCTACCAGTTGTTTCTATGAGAGGTTGGTTGTAATAAATAATGTCTCATATTTCGGCATAGACATGCTTCACCCTACCTTACCCCCATGTAATGCAAGCGTGTTAGTGTCAGAAATTCATCATTATCTACTAGTCCAGTCCATACAGTGTTGCTGTCTGCTCTGTCCAGGCTTCTTCCCACATACTTTGGTGCCTAGCTTGACAGTTGGTCCGCTTGCTCATTACTTTTTACACCAGCATGAGCAGGTGTGTAGATCCAGTTAAGTGTGATTTTTTTTAATGCTTTCTACATTCAGAGCTCATACTGCCTGTTGCTATCTTTTGAAGCATTTTCATAATATCTGATACAATTACTGCACGTGTGGCTATTTGCTCTGCTGCCCATGCTAGTGCTCTAGACGCAGCACTATCTCCACAGTCTTGCTTGACATAGTTTCCTGTTAAGTGCCGCTGTCTTCTTGTATTGGTGCTCTAGACGCAGCGGCTATCTCCATGGTCATGCTTGACATAGTTTCCTGTTAGGTGCCGCTGTCTTCTTGTATTGGTGCTCTAGACGCAGCGGCTATCTCCATGGTCATGCTTGACATAGTTTCCTGTTAGGTGCAGCTGTCTTCTTGTATTGGTGCTCTAGACGCAGCGGCTATCTCCATGGTCATGCTTGACATAGTTTCCTGTTAGGTGCAGCTGTCTTCTTGTATTGGTGCTCTAGACGCAGCGGCTATCTCCATGGTCATGCTTGACATAGTTTCCTGTTAGGTGCCGCTGTCTTCTTGTATTGGTGCTCTAGACGCAGCGGCTATCTCCATGGTCAGGCTTGACATAGTTTCCTGTTAAGTGCCGCTGTCTTCTTGTATTGGTGCTCTAGACGCAGCGGCTATCTCCATGGTCAGGCTTGACTTAGTTTCCTGGTAATTGCTGTTGTCCCCTTTTATTGTTTTCCTTATCCTTTTTGTTGTGTATGCCCATGCTGATCTTGATCCGAAGCTTCATGGATCCATCTGTGTAGATGAGGATGTCTTCTGGCTGATCAGGACAACATTTAGTCTCAGCATTAAATGGCTAGCAGGTAATGCACTGGAAGTAAAATTGATGGGCGTGAGGTTGAACACCATAGAGTGCTGACTAGTCTATAAAAATATGTCTAGCACATTGTATGATAACTAGATGGAATGAATACATAAGAGAGTTATATGATGGAAAGAGAGCAGAATTACCAGAAGAAAGACATTTAGAAAGCCTGTCTATACTAAAGGAAGAAGTTAGCAGTGCTATTAAACATATGAAGAAAGGAAAGTCAGCTGGGCCAGATGAAATTTCAGTAGAAGAATTAGAAATGCTGGGGGAATTTGGGGTAGAAATATTAACTCAACTGTTAAATGACATTTTAAAAACTGAGTACATTCCAAGTGATATGATGAAATCTGTATTTATTGCCTTACCCAAAAGACCAGCAGCAGTTGAGTGTGAAGAATTTCGTACATTCAACTTATTAAATCATGTCACCAAATTACTACTTAAAATTATGATGAGAAGAACAAAAAAGAAAAATAAGAATGGAAATGAGTGAAGAGCAGTATGGATTTATGGAAGGTAAAGGGACAAGTAATGCAATATACATATTACGAACACTGATAGAAAGGTCAATGCACATACTAAAAGGACTTATATTTGTGCTTTATAGATTATACCAAAGCATTTGACAAAATTAAACATGAAAAGATGATAAAAATGTTAGAAGACATCATCGTAGATGGGAAAGATCTCAGAATAATTAAAAACATTTATTGGAACCAAGTAGCAGCAATTAAAGTGGGAAACAGATTGGGTACTTTTGAACAGATAAAGCAAGGGTAAGAGGGATGTGTCTTATCCCCAGACCTTTTCTCTCTATGTAGTGAAATAATTTTGAGGGAAATTAAAGAGAATGCAGGAGTAAAAGTTGGAGGATACAATATAAACAATTTGCCTTATGCAGACGATACAGTTTTGATAGCTGGAAATGCAGCTGATTTACAACATTGAATATTGTGGGATGGAGAGTGCTAAGAAAGGACTTTCATTGAATATTAAGAAAACAGAATAATTGGTTATATCAAAGAAGAAGATAATGCCACATTGTGATATCCCAATTGAAGAAAAATGGCTTAACCAAGTCAATAAATTTAAATATCTCACAACAGCCAAAAAATGCTGTTGTTGGTTCTGCAAAGTCCTGTAAAGAATATGCAACTAACTTTAACTCTCTCAGTATATGTCAAATTTTTCAGTATTTCAAATGACTTAAAATGGTTTAGTGTTCAAATTCGCTTGATGTTTTACTTTAGTCTCCCCTTATATGCTGCAATAGAATTTTTGTTTTTTGTGTGTGTGCTTTTTACACCTCAGAACCATCAAGGAATTCTATCCACATGCCTCCATTGTAAAGACAGTGTGTACTTTATGAAGAGTAAATTAAATACTATAAATTGTCAGCATGGGGACAGTGAAAAATGGTTTGCCTCGTTCAATGGAAACAACATCACACTTAACTTTTCGACCTTTGAAAAGTGATGTTGCTGAAGTAAGCAACAACAACAACAACTCTAAAATAGAGGGGCTGGATGACAATGGAAACCAGAATAAAGAGCCAGGTAAGCTGACAAATGTAGTTTTATCTTATGTAAATGTATGGCTTATATTTAAGTGTGTTATGTCCTTTAATGTGGGTAGAAAACATTTCACTTGTCTCTCTTTCTTTCTTTCTTTCTTTCTTCCTTTCCTACTTTCTTTCTTTCAATAGCTCTCTTTATATTTCGAGTTCCCTCAAAACCTCGAAATTTGATTGTTTTGGTTTCATATATCTAGGCCAGTCTGGGTTATGAATTACACATTCTTACCTGCCTTGAACAACAGAGTGCATGGTTTGCCTATTGCTCTGAAGGTCATGGGTTCATTTGACGGCTGCGGCCTTAAGATAACAAATTCGGTTTTTACAGAGATCCTTTGGGTTCATTGCAGGAGCAACAGATTTCATGCTCTGTACGTCACTTTTGGCAGTCAATTAGCATAACATAATATGAACCTTGGTCCATTAGGGTTGTGGAGGTGTATTAATGGAAGCACTTGCACATAAAACCCACCATCTTTCTCTGTCTTCCGCTTGATAAATAAGTATGATAACTTAGTTCTGTCCATTTCTTGATACTGTCATGCCAGATTCTTCTTTGCCCTCCTCTTCTTCGACTGCACCCACCCCAATGTTCCTTGAAGTACAGTCTTTGCAATTGAATCATGTCTCGCCATGTGCCCAAACCAAGCTAGCTTGTGACGTTTCACCACTGCCAAGAGAGGCTCCTGATGTCCTGCAAATTTGTATATTTTTCCTCTGGCATATTAATTAGTTTTGTGTTCTAAATAACTAATTCGTAAAATGCGTCTGTAGCATTTACATCTGAAAGCCTGAATCCTCCTTTCTATTTCTTCAGTGAGAGTCCAACTCTCACACCCGTATAAGAAAATAGACAACACCAGTGATATGTAAATATTGACCTTGACTGTGATGCTGATTTTGCTCTTCCACATCGTATTCAGCTGTGACATCGACTAATGCAGTAGGAAAGGGAGGGGGGGGGGGGTAAAGATTCTTGAAGATTTTCAACATTGAGGAGAAAACATAGGTGGACTGTTAATCTAGCAACTGCTGCTGTTAGCTTGTTGACTTTTCATTTGTTAATGAAAAGCTAATGAAATGTCCCTTACTGTCCAATTTGAAATGGAGAAGACATGGGGAGAGCTGCATGCAATAGTGGAGGATAGAACGACTTGGCCTGAGTTGGCTGAGGGCCTATACCCCGTAGGGGGATTGAAACCTCAAGGCAGAACCTACCTAGATGGAACTAAAAAAAAAAAACCACTACCAAAAATAAGTAGCTTGTTCAGATGCACCATATTGTAGAACTTGCTCTTCTTCTTTACTTCCACTTTGTGTACTTCCATATTGTAGGACTGAGTATACATAAACTTTGACGGTTCTGATTTTTTATGTGCTGTTTATCTCTCCAGATGTTAATAAATTTCTTTTGTTGTAGAAAATATTTTTGGTTGCTCTTCTTGTAATTTAAAAATAATTTTTGTTATTTAATATTCTCAATTAAACTGTAAACACTCTATCTTTAGTCCGTAAAAATCTAAAATAACGTTTGTCTACATTTGGACCTAACTTGTTTCAGATTTGAACTTAGGAGATACAACAGACTACACATCCGAGGAACTCAACAGTTTGTTTAAGAGAGGTCAAGAGTATGAGAGAAGCCTGAGACCAGCAGCAGCATTGCAATGCTATTTGGGATGTATGAAAGGCTCGAATAATGGAAAGTTGTTTGATCATCTACCCCAGTGTATCCACAAAGTATGCATGAGCTTGTAAAAATGTTATACATGGTTTTATGTTTTGTAATCCTTGTTAATGTTCCTCTTTTTAGCCTTCCTGTTATGCTACTGGTCCACCTGGCATATTATGCTAGGCTCATATTTTTATAGACCAGTCGGCACTCTGTGCGTAAAGTGCGCTGTAGTGGATTTTTGTCAAAAACGACCTTTGTTCCCAGATTGGCCCAGCCTAAAGTGAGTACAATGTAATGTACTTGGAAGTAAAGGTGGCCAGAATAATATTGCTACATTACTCAGCATTTTTCTTTCCACCTTTGTTTCCCAGTAAACTACATCATACTCATTTTAGGCTGGGAACTAGGGTCAGTTTTAAGAAAAATCCACCATATTGTGGATGTGAACTCAAGGCCTTTTCTACTTCTGGTCAGGGCAGGAAGAGATCTCTGGAACAGACCCTTCTGTTTGCTATATATAAAGTAATTTTCAAATGTCTCTGATATTTCTGCAGTCCATCTTCTGCATGGATGACCACTGGCTCTATCTGTATAACACTGCTTTCTGTTGTGCACTGTCTGATGCCAGCCTTGTTACATGGCCAAACGATTTGCTTTGTTTTCTACCTCTAAAGTTCAGTATTGGTTCTGTGCCCACTCTCCTCCTAATATCTTCGTTCCTTTGATCTTTCCTCATCACACCTAGCATAGTACATAAACAGTTGCTGCTAGAAAACCTCTCTAACCCTTGTTAATTTTCCTTTCTTAGTTCCCCTTTCATGCCACAACTCCACCTGGCATATGATGCCAGGTTCATATTTGTATAGTCCAGTTGGTGCTTGTGGGTAATGTGGTCAACATTATTCTGGCCACCTTTGCTTTCTAGTACATTACCTCTTACCCATTTTAGGCTGAGCCAGTCTGGGAACCAAGATCAATTTTGACAAAAATCCACTACAGTGTGGATTCAAACCCAAGACCTTCTGGCTGGCAGGCGAATATCTAGCCACTACCTCGACTTCCAGGTCACATGATACTAAGCCCAAATTTTTTGTTGTTGTTGTTGTTGACTAGTCGACACTTGGTAGACGATGTGATCAGTGTTTAAAAGATAGGTGCTTTGCTAGGAAAAAAAATTGTAACGTTTAACCAGCATCTCCAAAGGGGTGAAGGGGGAGTTTGAGGTTATAGTTGTGACTAGGTTTTATGTGTTCTATAAAATGGCTTCGTATTGCACGCCACCAAGAGCTCTGAAAAGGACTCCTGCAGTGTTGATGCGATCAAAGGAGACAGTCCCAAAGTCATCTACCGGCGAGCCAATGGGCATCCAAGTCGCCTCTGTGGATGCGATCAGGATCACTGACTTCAAATGATGTTTCCTGCTGCCCGTTTAAGGCTGGGTCAACTGATCTGAAAAACAAGTGCAGTGAGTGAGGATTTGAATCTCAGACCACTGGCCCAGCAAGTAAGCATTCTAGCCATTAGACAGCTACTACTCCCATCTTTTATGAGGGTACATCAGGAGCGACTGGTCAGTAGTTAAGAACGCAGAGCTCTTATGCAGGAGACCAAGGTTCTATTCCTCTGTAAAGTTACAGGTTTTTTTTTTCTATCCCAGACAAAAAGGAAATTATCATTTGCGCAGTCTGTGGTGACAACCTTAGCCATGCAGTCCTAAATCCTCAGTACCCTCACCTCCAAACACACTCACACATACACCACAGAAGTGTTAAATACAAACAGTAATAGTAGTTTTTGTTTCTTTAAATTTTTTTTTTCAGGATTGGTGTCTGATTACATTACTGTAAACGTCATTGTTAAAATCATGATCCAGCTTGCTGTTATTTTTGTGTCAATTGTTTTTCTTCTCAGGTAGCTGATATATACCGAAGGCAGCAACAAAGTATCCTTTCCAAGTTGCCATTCACTGTAGTAGAGGATCCTGGAGCCTTTAATACTTTTAAATTCTCCATGCTCATGTGAGGTTTGTTGGGGGGTGGTAGAGTGGGGTACAGTCGGACTGCCCCCTGAACAAGCATATTGTAAAAGGTGATTATTTAGGAGTTTGCTGAAGTGAGCACGTTGGGACAAAGGACGCAGATATCACAACCTAGCTGTTAACTGCAACACAACTTGTGAATGACTCTTTTAAGGGTGACCACATTAAAAATATCTTCAAATAATATCATTACTAGCTCCCTTCTTTAACACTTGAGTTTCCTGGACAGTTTCAACTTTAGAATGTTATCCAGTATTTAATATTGGATGGAAGATGACAAACATAGTCAAAAGATCGAAAACAATACAGAAAAATGTCTTCATTCAAATGCAGTAGTAACAAGAGTATGTTAGCGTGTTATTAAGATCCATTTTGTTATGTATTATATAGGAGGTGGAAAAAACAACATCAACCAAGATCCATTTTGTTATGTATTGTGTAGGAAGTGGAAAAAAAAAACCTCAAACAACAGATAAAGTGAGTAACATGTTATGGCAGCAGGAAATTGAAGCAATACCTTTGAACAGCCATATACTGAAAGAAGAACAAAATTATGCAATTTTTCAAGAAATAGATGCGAACTGCATTGTTTCTACACCATTATGGTCATGTGATGAGAAATTAACTTCAACAATTGGCAAACTCAGTAGGAAAATAGCAGAAGGCGAACAAATTTTGCAGCTTCGATGTAAACAAAATGTAAAGATCCCTTTTTTCACGCCTTTAGGTGTATAGGGCATATAGTGCTAGACCTGTATTTTTATAGACCAAACGGCACAAGATGGGTGATGTAGTCATCATCAAGCTGGCCGCTTTTACTTCCCAGGACTGTACATGGTACGCACTTAAGGCTGTTTGGGCCTGGGGGTCGAGGGGAAGAAAAGGCCGGCTCCGCCAGGGAGCGAACCCACAACCTTCTGATCTTCATGTGAGCGCCTAGCCGCTACGCCATGGCAACTCCCAAACAACAACCAACCAAAACAAAACAAAATAAGATCATGAATAGTGGAGATTGTGCATGTTGAAACTGTCTTCTTGTAAAGGCTACTGGTAATTTCGCAGAATAGAGATGACAGTACAATATGTGAATGACAAGAAGAAAACTGACTAATTGTAAAGGTTCATAGACCTGTGTAAGTTCCAATGGAAAGTTTTGGTTGTTCGGTCATTCCTGGACTCTAGCAGAACTTGTGTTTTGCATGCAGAACCATTTTACAGATCTGGCTTGCTCAAATGCACACTGTTGGTTCCTGGCCCCTCAGGCAAGTGCACTCTGACTTTGGAGGAAAAATTCCCTGTTTAATTAGTCGCCTTGTACGACATGCTTCTTAGAGAAGCATTGTTTTGGTTCTTCTCCTCCTTCCCCAGATTGGCCCTAGACACCACACAAGGAAGTTTAAATGTAAATGCCAGTTAACTTACATTGGTCGAAAGGAGAGAGTTTGGAAACAATAGTAGCAAAACATATTCCTAAATGGCTTCACACACAGCTGAAAGTCAATGCTCCAAGTGAGTCAAGATCAATCAAGAAGAGAGAACACAAATATAATGTAGTTTATTATACAATTCTCCAAAGGGGGCCGCGCTAGCGCAGTCGATAGGCGACTCGCTTTCAAATCCATCTGCGACTCGCTGCAGCCCACGGCCATTGTTTGAAACCGGGCGGTTCCAAGGGTTCACTCAGCCTCTAGGTAGTAAGTACCAGAGTTAACACTCTGGGGTAAATGGAGGAAAATTGCTGTAGCTATGGAGTTGTGTGCGAACAGCGACACAGGTGGATAGTTTCTTATCAGCTGTCCATACTGATTGCAGAGCACTTATCGTTTAAAGCCGTTTGAGGTGACGCTGATTCACATCTCCTGACTTTACTTTTTATACAATTCTCCATTCATATTTCTCAATGAAATGATGTGCATTAACTCTTTCAGGACAGCATTTTTTCTAGGATTTGGACAGAATTAATTTTGAGCGGAATTTTTTTAGTGCAATACGACAAAGCTAAAACCTTCCTGAAGAAAAAATATTGGCTGTATCGGGACTTATAATATATCAAATTAAAGATAAATGAGTGCAGAATAAATCTAAACTACTTAAATGTCAGTATAACAACAAAATATTATTAAAATCACACAACATTCAAGGATGTTAGACACATATGAAAATTATTGACGTAAAAATTTTTGTGCTTACCTTATTTCTTACTTGTTCAACAACACTGCTATCCAATTCTAAGAATGCACATGCCGTCTCTATTCAGTTATGTATAAGCTAGTCTTTATTTGAAAACAATAAATTTAAATACTTTGGATGTTATAATCACTTTTGTATGACATGTCACTTTTCACAACAACTGAAAATTGGAAAAACAGCTGATCTGATTGAAATATTTTGTGAATATTTCATATCCTAAACTAAATTATCGCAAGTAGATTTGTCACTTAGATATCAATCATAATATCAAGACTGTTGTCACCAACTGGCAGAGATTCATCAACGATAGAGCAGTATGAACAGTTCTAGACCTTTTCCCTTATCATTCAGTATAGAAAAATCACGTAAAAATTGATAGACTTAATCGCCAGTATTCTGGCTAAATGTCCATAAAGAGTTAATGAATTGATTTGTAGAAACATACATAGTGATGACAGATTGGTTTCAGCATTTATTAATTCTTAACTATATATAGATGGCCATTCTGTGCAGTTTGCTCAGACGGAACAATTATTTCATGAAACTGCTCTGCGTGACATTGATGACATACAGCAAATGATTGGTAATCCTTTTTTATAATTAGAGCTCTGTTATAATGATGTATGTTGGAAGTGTTTTGAAAGAAATAACTCACATTGTTAACATACACCTAATGATTGGTAAGGAAGTTTTATAATTAGAGCTCTGTTATAATGATGTATGTTGGAAGTGTTTTGAAAGAAATAACTCACATTGTTAACATACACCTAATGATTGGTAAGGAAGTTTTATAATTAGAGCTCTGTTATAATGATGTATGTTGGAAGTGTTTTGAAAGAAATAACTCACATTGTTAACATACACCTAATGATTGGTAAGGAAGTTTTATAATTAGAGCTCTGTTATAATGATGTATGCTGGTGGTGTCTTGAAAGAAATAACTCACAGAGGGTACTGATTACCCACATCAGAAAGAGACAGTCCAAGTTTTTTTGGGTGGGGGCGGGCATGTCATGATGAGGGGTGTCACATGACAACCTAAGGAAAGAAGTCAGGCTATACTTTATTTGAAAATAGGTCTTCCTGAAATACTTTCAACAGTGGCGGGACTGCTGGAAGAAGTATTTACAGTCTCCTAAGGAGGCTACTTTGAAAGTAGCCTTGCAAGTATTTGCATTTTTTTTTTCTGGCCACAGGCTGGATACATTTTGAACAAACCTAATTTATACTGTGTTGAATCGTGACCTCCCTGTGTGGTTTTCAGGGGCTGTTTTGTAGGTTTAAAGAAATAATAGACCCACTGCCTCTTAACAAGCATGCAGTAAAAGGGGACTACTATAGGAATTTGCTGAAATCAGTTGTGTTGGCCAAAAAGTGCAGTTATCGCAGCATGCTATGTCGACCCCCATTAAAAGGATGAAGAAGAACCATTACCTAGTTATATCCTAATATACTTCCACACATGTGAAACACCAGCATGGTCACACACACCATATAAATATCTACATGTGGGAAAGGAAAGGAGCACTCACAAAACTTTTCTCGGAGAGGGGTTACTTTGCCACTGGATCAGAAAAAATGTCTGCACTTTCTCCCTATTTGGGGCTTAAATAACCTGAATGTAAATGCATCAAAGTTGAAACTCAGTCTTCCAGAGGATTCACAATCAGCCAGCCATGGTTCAGTAATTATATCTGAATGTCAAATAAACTGGATTAATTATTAACCCCTCAGGTGGGTAATTTATGCATGCACAAATGCTTACATAGTGGGTAGAATTTTTGCTGATTGTGCCAGGGCACAAGGTGTTGTCTGCTTCTTCTTTTTCTTCATCTTCTGTTCCTCCATTTACCTCATTTTGGGGTTGGGGGGGGGGGGTGGAATATAAGGATCTTCTATGTGCTCTTTCTAATGATCTTGATTTCTTTGTGGCTCTTCTTGATCCCATCATTCTTTTTTTTTTTGTTTTGTTGCATTGTCCTCCGCTTACTTTCTGTTCATTGCATTTCTACAGTGTGGCAGTTGGTACCAGTGTATTTTTGTCAGATGGCCAAAGCATCTCATCTGCTACTCTTTAACTGGTTTCAGTCCTAGTCTTCTTCTAATTACTTAATTTTTAATTCTCTTTTACTTCTGCAGCTGTTCTAAGATATCTCTACTCTGTTGTTATGTTTTTGTGTTCATTAATTTTAGTAAGAGCCCAAGTGTGATACTGGTAGCATAGAGTTACCCAAAAATATAGTTGCTAGACAAAAGTATCCTATGCAAAGGCATTGTCCCCAAAGTGAAGACATTTCAGTGTAATATGAAATCTCTTTTTACTCTTTACTTTTCTCCAGAACAGAGAATCAGTCGACTCCCTCTGTGAGAAATACTGTTTGTATTCTGGCATATGTAAAATCCCCTGAGGAATAAACATTCTAACGAGTCTTTCTTTCATTTATTGTTGGTTCTGCCCAGCTGTGAACTATAGATAGATGGTTTCTTTGGATTATTTTAAAATGGTTATAGGCAGGTAGGTAGTTGAACCCCACCAGGACATCACACAAGTGATAAACACCCGATGACACAAAGTGCCACCATGCAGATGAGGATCACCCATGGAGAGGTCCCAGAAACCCCATTCGTACGTGAGGCCATAAATTTATTCAGGGCCCCCTGCAAAGTGAGGCTTCAAATTAAAAAAAATTGCATCCCACAAAGGATGACTGTTTTATTAAAAATTTGTTATAATGGTTATAACAAAATAGATAATCATGAATAAAGCTGCACTGCAACTGGAAATGCTTTACTACTGAGAAATATAAATATATTGTCAATTACAGTGGATGCCTGGAGGTATTCTCTATGTTTTGATAAACTGCTGGCAGCTTGCAGGTGTGGGAAAAGCCAAATCTTAAGGATTAGAACACTCATTTGTTACTGTTAAATAATGCCAAATGGAGGAAACACCAGCGAACATAATTAGGAAGGTTGCAAGTGTGTAGCTCATCATACCCAATGTCTACACGCCATAGAAAAACCCCACACAAATTTATCATACCCACTCACATTACAACTGGTCAAGATGGATTTGTCTATCATACCAACATTAGGATTTTCAATTGTTATTAACTATATAGAAGTCTATTGGCTGGTTCTTCAGCACCTGCTGGTGGATCATGCCTGACAAGCTAGATATTGTAAGGGTCCCTTGATGGTGAGGGAACAGAGTTAAAGCCGTGTTAGTGCAGTCGATAGGAGACTCACTTTCAAATCCAGCTGCGACTTGCTGCAGCCTATGGCCGGTGTTCGAAACCGAGCGGCTTCTGGGGTTCACCCAGCCTCTAGGAAATGAGTGCCAGAGTTAACACTCTAGGGTAAATAAAGGAACGCGGCTGTAGCTTTGGAGCTTCATGCGGACCGCTACACAGGCGGACAGTTTATAATCAGCTGTCCATACTGGTGGCAGAGCACTTATGTTTTATAACCGGGTGCAGTGACGCTGGTTCACATCACCCCGACTTAACCTTTTTAGTGTTGAGGAACAAATAGATCATCAGGGTCTGAAGAGAATGGTGCTGTGAGGAATGATCAGGGAATCTGGCTGATGCTCAACACTCAAAGTAAAGGTAAGACAAATATGGTCGGTCTGTTACTGGTACCATTGGAATCGGAACTCTGTGCTTGCTGCTGAAGATGGGGATAGAGCGCTTATGGGAATGTCCCATGCTTCGTGGTGTCAGTTCTTAATTCAACATTGAAGTCTTTACATGTATGAAAATTGAAATCTGCCAAGAGTGATCAAAAGCCATCAAGTGCAGATTTATCAGTTAACAGTAACGATCTAGCGCCTCATGCTGTTTTATGTGTCAGTGACATGAAAAGAATCCTTTTTTAATTGTTTCTCACCAGTACTGATAAATGGTATAGAGAGAATGGCAGATTACAGAGGGACTAAAACTGCATACATAAAAGAGTTGATGGGAGTAGACCATGGGGCAGACAAAAAACACAATGGGCGATAATTTATTGTATTATTGCCTTTCTGTATTTCCTGGTGATAGTGTCATGAGGAGGCATGAGACAATGTGACTAGCAAGATCTGCCCATGTTAAGAAAAGTCTTCCACAATGATAGCATGGGATTTCAGGACTGTTGTCAACATTTGTATTTAGTATGTTTCTTCTCAGACGCTCAGCTCTCATAATTTCTTTCTTCATTCTCATTCCCTTCCTAATGTGCCCCCTTGACACAACACGGTCCATGGCATTTTTTACCCCCAAGACCACCTCAGTATCTGTATCATTCATGTCCTGCTTGCACATATCTTTATATCGTAGCAGCGGTCTGCCTCTGCATCTTCTATTCATCTTTAATTCACCATAGAAGATGTCTTTCAGGGTTCTGCGATCCTCCATTCTCCAGGTGTGACCCAGCCACCTGAGACTTTGTCAGACTTTGTAGACTGAGCATTGAGAGAACTTGTACAGGCACCTGCTCTTTCCAATACCTCAAGTGTTTGTGATCTTGTCCTGCCACTTAATGCAAGTATTCTTTTTATTCATCACATGTGAAAGCTATTTAGCCCTTTCTCCTGGTGTAAATAAGTTGACTAAGTTTCACTGCCATAAAGCAAAGTGCTGAGAATAAAAGTCATATAGACAAAAGTTTTTATTTTAATCATGAACTTTCTGTTCTCCCAAACTTTTTTTGTAATATACAAGGGGTGCGCGCACGCACAAATGCATACACACACACACTTGGAGGCACTACTTGGAAAAAGAAGGCCAGTCATAGAATTGAATAGTCTGATGATATTTGCTGCAATAAACCTTGAGGGCCTGGAATACTGTGCAGTGCTGATAAATAATCTTGACCTCTTCTGGTAGATATTCACTGCATTTATGTTGTTTATTGTCTACAGATGAAATAGCCAAAGATGTTGGATCTGGAGCTGTGGATCTTAATGAGCTTAACATTAATGCTCTGCAGGCAGAAGATTATGAAAATTTGGCAAAAGAATGCTGGCTTAAACACCAGTAAGTCAAACATACCTGCATTAGGTGTGCATGAGTGTGAGTGAGTGAGTTAGGTAGTTATAGCATTTTTACATTATTTCACATGTTAAACAACTGAGAAGTCTAGCTGAATGAGAAGAAAACAAATAGCCACTCCAGTGAAAAATGTTTACTTATCAGAGGTAGTGAACACGATAGTGTATTTTAGATTTCAGTTTTATCCAAATTCTGAGGTTTAAAAAATGGCAAGGAGAAGAAGAATGTAAAATATAAAATAATAATAAATAGTAAAATATAAATAATAAATGACTTCATTTAATTAGAGCTGATTAGGATAGTAGAATGTTGTCTGTCCATCTATAAAAAATCTTTTTTTTAACCTGCACAGTTTGTGGCAACTGTGCTAGCTATATGACCTTATTTGGAAGCTGCACTCGGTGGCTAAAAATAACCTCCAGTTTCCCTACACTGTTCTAAAATATTGTTATTTAAAGGCTGCAAAGGACGGTTTTTCAGTCTATACATCTGTTTGTAATGCAAATCTCTTCTGCCCTAAATCTTTTCTCTTATTATGTTTCTCAGTAAATTTGAAGATCTCTGGAAAAGAGGTTGGGGGGGGGGGGGGGGGTGGGGTGGTTGTCATAACTGGGGCTAGGCACAGTTTATACTTTGCACCATACTCTCAGCCTGGCAGCCAGGCACTCTGTGAAGAAAGACTTGCCCATATTTTTTTTAACAGTCTAATGTAGTAAGATTGATTCTTTTCCTCACACACATCTTTTATTTTATCAGTTATATGCTGTTTTAACAGTACATTTTTTACTGCAGTAAACTTAATTTTTTTTTTTTTTTAAATGGACTGTAAGAACCATTCAGTCCTAATTATTCTGTTAAAGTTACTCATGAATTCAGATTCATTCTCTCTATATTCTCTTAATGTCACTGTTCATACATATAGCATTCATAGGTGAACTCCATTGTTGCTGGTCTGCTGTTTTGCCCATTTCTAGGTCGCCCATACTTCCTTTTCCATCAGCTTCCCACTGGAGAGCTGTCTTTATCAAAGCTTTAAAGGCTGAGAACATCAAACTGTCGATTTCAGTTAATGATATATTTATGAAAGCATTTGTTATTAATATTCTTTTTCCTTATGTTTACCGGTTGAAAACTCCAGCAGAAAGTTTTGGTTCTTCGTCCACTTCTGGACTTTAATCTTGCTCTACAACCTGAGTGTTGCATGCACATCCATTTTACAGATCTCACTTATTTGTATGCCGACTGTCGGTTCCTTGCCTCTCAAACAGATGAACTCTGACTTTGAAGGAAGCCCTTGATTAGTCTACTCTTATGACATGCTATTTTGAGTGAGGCAGTGGGTCTGTTTTTGTTTCCCCCCACAAGGGGGCCACGGAACACATACTGGGAGTTATTAATATTAATGATATATCAACCTGTTTACTTCTAGTCTTCAGCTCAGTTACATGTTGTAGTATTTATTCATACATTACTTTCATTCAACATATTCCCATATATTTGGTTTGAAAAAAAAAAAAAAGAAGAGGCATTTAAACGTCTTCTAAAAGTATGACAATATGTTGCACTCAGGTTATGTCTTATTATGGTTTCAGCTATTTCATTGAAAAATTAATAATTCACTTTGTTATTTTACACTGCACTAGCCTACTTTTGTTGATTCTTTCAGACATCAGTTAGCACTGGAATATGCTGGTCGAGTAAGTTTTGTATTTGTTTATACACTTCTCTGTCTTGAATTTTTTCTTTTTTTTAACTATACAGTTGTTTTTTTGCCAGAACAGTTAGCTTTATGTTTTGTACCCTAAAGTGATATGAATAAAGATGACTTAGTTGTATTTGTTAAATTTAAATGCATGATCAGTTAAATAATTTCAACCAAAATAAAACTGAACTTTCCTGTTTTATCTAAACAAAATGATCACATGATAAATTTTAAGTTACCGTGGTAATCACATAGCTGATTTTGAATTTCCAGTGGAGAGAGAGCTGAATATTGAAGAAAGTTGGCAATTAAAGACGATAAAACACAGAAAACTGAAATATTTTGGTCACTTGAAATGTCACGAAAGTTTAAATGGATCAATAATGGAAGGGTAAATGCCAGGTGAAGAGGAAGGCCAAAGAAAAGATTGGTACATGCTGTGGCTGATGATCTCCAGATGTGTGTATCGGATGCAAGACATCTTGCTTATCTTGTGATAGAGAGGTTTTATGGAGGGTTGTTATGGGAGCAAGATTCTGCAAAGGACATGCTGCTGTCTGAAACTTGGACTAAGTGGAAAGATATGCAGCCTAACATGTCAGTGACGTTGTGATTTTGTATTCCAGCGAAAAGGATACATTTTTGTGATTCATTATATGTTGATTTAAGTGTGTAATAATGCACCTGACGAGGTACAGTGAATTATCATCATCATGTACCAGGTCCTTTGCAGAATGTCGCTCTCATCACGGTCTGCCTGAAAGAAACTCGGTCTCTCGCCAGCTCTCCAGCCTCATGCACTTTCATACACAAGGAGTCACTTATATCCTGTGCCCATCTTCGTGTTGGTCTGCCCCTGCCTTTCCTTCCTGGTACCATGCCTTCTGCTATAATTTTTTCCAATCCGTCGTGGCGCTTGATATGACCAAAATATTTCAGCTTCCAAGACAGGATGCTGTTTATTAGTTTATTCAGTGAGCTATGCCGAGCAATAAATTGTGCAATGTATTGTGTGTCCCCACATAATTCAAATAATTCTTTCTCTGTTAAGTCAGTCAGTAATGTTCCGCCTCCATTATGAAAGTTGGCTACAGAAGATCTTTAACACTCTCTGTTTATCATCTTGGTTGTCCTTATCTTGGTGTTATCCTCTCACCCGTACTACTGTCTACCACTTTCTCATCTGCTTTAAACTTCCCTTCTAAAAATTTTTTTGTAAAAGTGTAAAATCTGTTAATGTGACTAAAATATTTCACCTCTCTCTGTTTTTATTATTTGTCTACTCTTTCCATCCTAATCTCTCTAGAAACTCTGCATTTCTTCTTTTTCTTATTCTTTACCGGCTGCAAACTCCAGCGTCGGCTCTGTGGCTAAGTCGATGTGAACGCTTCGTAATGCCGGGGTACCGGGTTCGATCCCACATACGGGCCATACGCCTTGTGTTGGTTTTGACAGTGATATCAGGGGGCCGACCGTCCAGGAAGCAATGGCAAACTACTGGACGTAAATTTGCCTAGAGAAACCACACAACAGCCAGGGGCTGCTGGGGTTGGTTCTGCAATGTTCGTTAAAGGATACACAACTAACCTTAAAAAAAACTTCAGCAGAAAGTTCTGGTTATTCATCCACTCCTGGACTTTGGTCTTGATCCAAAACACAGACTTTTTTCTCTTTTTGTGCACATCAGTTTTACAGGTCTGGGTTATTTTTTCTAGAAGTGGATGAATAACAAAAACATTCTGCCAAAGTTTGCAGCTGATGAACACTAAGAAGATAAAGATCTAACTCACATGTTGATAGTCGTATTAATTCTTCTTCTTCTTCTTCTTTGCATTCACCGGCTGTAAACTCCAGCAGAAAGTTCTGGTTGTTCATCCACTCCTGGACTTTGGTCTTGATCCAAAGCTCAGATTTCTTTTTCTTTTTTTTTGTGTGCACTTCCAATTTACAGATCTGGGTTATATGTCTAGAAGTGGATGAATAACAAGAACATTCTGCTAGAGTGTGCAGCTGTTCAACACTAAAAGATGAAGACATAACTTAAATGTTGATAGTATTAGTAATAATTCTTCTTTTTCTTTGCATTTACCAGCAGTAAACTCTGGCGGAAAGTTCTGGCTGTTCATCCACTTCTGGAATGCAATCGTGTTCCAGAACCTGTCTTGCGTGTGCATCCATTTTACAGATCTGACTCATTTGTATGCAAACTGCTGGTTCCTTGCCTCTCGGGCAGATGCAATCCTTCTTCGAAGGAAGCTCCCAGTTAGTCCACTCTTATGACATGCTTTTGGGTAGGCAGTGGGTCTGTTCTTGTTTTCCCCACAAAAGGGCCCTGGAACCCACACAGGGAGTATTATTAATTCATAGGATTACAATTGGGGACGCAGTATCTTTTGACATTGTACTAGTTGCTGCTGGAGTAATTTAATCCAAAGTCCCATTATTGTATCTGTATACTTTAAAAAAAATGTACTCTGTATTTGCATTCTGCATGTAATCACACATATAAAATTATATGTATTTCATATGTATTTACAGTCTACCAAACTAAGGCAGCAAATTTATGGCAAAAACAGCCAGAAAGCAAAATTATCCATGAGCCTCTTTTTAGCCATCTATATCGAGCTGAGGAGCCAGAATGACCCCGGTAATAATTCAGAGCAACTTACCTTTAAATTATTCATGTTAGATTTTAAAAGTTGAGAGTTTGATTTTATTGTACCCGGTTTTATCTTGTAAGGCTCATTCTCAGTATGCAAAACTGCAGGTTGCCCCTTGGGAAAAATATAACGCAGTTTGGCGTTCGTAGTCATCTCTGTGCGCAACGTTCTGTCTCATGTACTTTCAGTCAACTCTGATATTGATGATCCCCCCATGGTGTCAAACTGTCCAGCATTTTTTCTCTTGGTCTCCCTCTTCCTCTCTTCTCCTTCCAACTTTCCTGCTGTCACAATGTACTCCAGTTTTTGCCTTCTCATGACATGACCAAATAATGTAGATTGCCTCTTTATGATGTGGGCAATCAGTTCTCTTTGTGAGTTAGTTTCTTCAAGACAGATTCATTACCCTATTTCTCTGTCCAAGATATTGTCATCATTTGTTTATGAAATCACATCTCTGCAGTTTCCAAAAAATGTTATTACTAATCTACCAACTGCCCTTGATTCACTTCCATGTATCAGGATAGGACTTATATAGCTTTTAAGAATTCTCTGTCTCATCCCAGTTGACAAAGAAATATTTACTGCCTGTATTTACTACTTTTAGGACTATGTAGGAAAGGGGGAAAAAAACAGCTTTGTGCTATCACTGCCAGAGATGGACAGTCCTAGAAAAACATAAATGCAAAATTACAACATATGAGATATGTAAGAAATATGATGGGGAAATCAAGTGGAAACAGAGACACCAAAGAAGTAAGAGCATTGGTAGGCACATTACTGGTAAATGATTTCATAGAACATAAAAAAAATCGAATGGTTTGGTCATCAGGCTACAAGACAAGAGGTCGACCAAGAAATAGATGGGTAGAGGGAATAAAAAAGAGACCTACACAAAGGCAGCATGGCATTAAAACAAACTACACAACTGGAAAAAGATTGGAAACTACATCTAACTCCTCTTCACGATGCTTCCCAATCTAAGCAGTATGACAAAAGAAGAAAGAAAGGAGAAATAGGACAGGAAGGTCTTGAGCCTGAGGATTCAGGGCCCCATGGTTTCGTGCAGTTGCCTCGAACTGCGCAGGCTGGGGTTTTATTTTTGCCCCCGACAGAAAAAATGCATCACTTTACTGAAGATTCGAACATGGGTCTCACCAGTGAGAGCCCAGTGTTCTTAACCTGGCCAGCCATTTCTCCTGAGGAGCCCCTTGAAAGCACACACAAAGCACAAGACCACAGCTTCAGCAGTGGCTCCCAGATAATATCTGAAACATCAGAAATCACAGCCAAACTGAAAACCGCAACACAAATTCCAACAACCTTTTTTTAAAGATGAACATAGAAGGGGAAAAACCGAATGGAAGAATAGACTGCGAGCCATATTTGACGACCTTATGATATGATAATCTCACAACATGATGATGATGACAGAAGAAAAATGAAGAAGAATCCCCGTAAGGTGATAAAGAATTTTTATCTGTTTGGGGAGCAATAACAAAATCTTAACATGACATAGCAGCTGCAGGAGAGCAATAAAAAATTCTTAACATGTCATTGCAGCTGCAGGGCAGCAATAAAAAAAATCTTAACATGACATTGCAGCTGCACCTGCCTGCGGTTCTAAATCCTTAGGCTGACTACTGCCTACCTCCTGTCATATGCTGTCCTAATAGGTGGTTAAAAACCTGCAGTGAAGATAGTGTGTTTAAATGTGTATGTAGCTTATGAACTCCAATGTATGTCCATTTGTCATGGAAGCTACTGTGTGCTTTGATCGTATGCTTCTATGACCTCTCATGTGAAATGTGAGTAGGTAAAGTGAAGGACCCTTTTCTTTGCATTGGCACAGTGAGCATATTGTACTAGACCTATATTTTTATTGACCAATTGGCACTTGATAGGCGGCGTGGTCAGCATGACGCTGACCACCTGAACTTTCCAGGATAGAAGGCTGGATCAACATGGGGGGAAAATCTGGCTTGTTGTTGATTTTAACCCCTTGTTTATAGTATCCATTGCAACATCTTTAGGCTAAAAAGGTGTATTGGGAATATATTGCCAGCCCTGTATTTTTGTAGACCAGTTGACACTCAGTGGGTGAAATATTTTGTGTTGTGCCGATCACTTTTACTTCCTGGGAAATTTTCTGGCACCGATTTCAGACAGGTCCAATCTGGAAGTCAAGATTAGCAAGAAAAATAATCACCACCTCAATAGGGAATGAATCCGTCTTCCTAATATTATTATATTTAATAGCTTAATTCGATAATATCAGCTTTCATTTTAGAATATTAAGTTGATGTTATTGTTTCATCACCCTGTCTGATTTATGCATTAAAAGTCAACAGTAATGGATCTCCCGCAGTTTCTGTTTTTAGTCTGACTAAATCCGGACAAAATCTTTATATTCTCCATATTTTTGTGTTGATGCTTCCCTAACCTTGGCTTCTATTATTTTTATGTCATTTAGTTATGACATTTGATATAACAAAAGCACTATATCTTTTGTTGTTGTTGTTTAAATTTTTTTTTTTTGTCTGCAGAACTCATTTTAGGTTGTTTTAAGAACTTTGATTTTATTGATCATAAGTTTGATGTTTTGGGGTTCAGGTCATCAAAAAGAAGCTTGCATCTGTTAAAGTGTTTTTAAAAAAAATGTGCAACAAATGCATGACCTTTCAGAGCCATCTTTGTCATCACATGTATCTGACTGTCTGCTTTTAACTTGTATGTTTTCTTCTTTTTCCCTATTCCTTTCCTAATTTCCCCTTTCCATGCGGTGAGATCCGTTAGGCCAAATGTTACCCAATTTTGAGATGCATGCATGTGAAAATGAAACCAAAAGGACACTGTTCAGCACAGTATTCTTACAACTGTGTGCTATTAATGTCAAACAGGGACACTGTCTTCAAAAGAGAGAAGAAAAATAGTCACAACAGAAATGAAATGTTTACATACTATGCTAGGTGTAATAAGGAAAGATAGACTTGGGAACGATAATATCAGGAGGAGAGTCAGGACAGAACCAGTACTGAACTTTATAGGTAGACAACAAATCAAGTGGTTGGCTATGTAACAAGACAGGGCACCACAAAGAGCACTGTTATACAGATACAATGGTAACAGATCCAGAGGTCGACCACGCAGAACATGGACCGCAGAAATATCAGAGACGCTGAAAAGTACTTTATACGAAGCGAATAGAAGGGCCCGTTCCTGCCTTGACATGACAAGAGAGAAGAAGATGCAGTGAGATCCATGGCATCCCATTCTGATGAATCCACCTCAGTACCTGTATCATTGATGTCCTGTATTCACACATCTTTAAATTGTAGTAGAGGCTATTCTACCTATCTTTAATTCACCATAGAGAATGTCCTTAGGAACTTTACTATTCTCTCTGTCTTGCCCACCTGAGCCTTCAACGACTTAGCACTGAGAAAACTGTTGACACAATGTAACTGCAAACAAAACATATTGGAAAATGAACATGTAAATATGTAAGTTGTACCCTGCCAGGACATCACACAAAGCGATAAACACCCGGTGACACAAAGTGCCACCATGCGGATGAGGATCACTCGTGGAGAAGTCTATATTTAGGGCCCCCGACAAAAGCCAGGGTGGGGCTTCAAATAACGAAAAGTTGTACCCACATGGGGATGGCTAGAAAAATGAATAGGAGTTTGTAGATTATTCACATGGACACATATTGTAGTGAAAATACATTAAAAAAATATGAATTACTCATGTTTCTTGCTGTAGATTCTTATATGCACATTCATGAACAAGGCAATCACTGGGGCTCTGCTGGGGATCTTCAAAGATCTCCTGATGTTGTTATGTCCAAACCCAGTAATGGAATCCCAGTATCCATATTACGACAGAGGTCAGAAGATGGAACAAAAGAAGCTGGTAAGTCATATTAATTTACTGAGTTAATAGTTAGTTATTTGACAGATTACCCTCATTGCACATTGAACCATTTATAGCGGCGTCCGTGGCTAAGGTGTTGCAAGTCTGACTCGTAATTCCTGTGTACCGTGATCGAAACCCACTGCTGGCTGCTTGGATATTTATCATGGTACGGGGCGTCACAGGTCGACCCAGCCTAAAGTGGGTACCGAGATGTATCTCCTGGGGAAGTAAAGACGGCCGACGTAATGCTGACCACATTACCCACCTAGTGCCCATTGGTCTTTAAAAATATGGGTGCTCCTCCCATATACCCGATGCGCCTAAGGCGTGAAAAGGGATCTTTACTTTTTTTTATTACTCATAGCGGCAGATGACACCAGTTCTGTGTTGGGTTTTTATTCTTCTTCAGCTTCCTGCATAGTGAGTGCTCTTGTCTGGCCACACCTCTTTAAACTTGCTGTTCTTGTGGTTTGGTCATGGTTGCTGAGCCTACCACCTCCTTTTTAATGAAAAAAAAAAATCCTCCAGCCCCCCACCCCCACCCAGCCATGGAGATAATCCTTATGTGCCATGCTAGTAGGCATAGGCAGTAACACTTCGCCATCCTACAGGATCAGCAGAATCACAGGGCCCCATTGCACTGGATAAATTGATCACTGCCCCCTTAACAAGCATGTCGTAAGAGTTGATTAACACTGGGGTGTTTTCTCCAAAGTTTGAGTGGATCTGCCTGAGAGGCAAGGAACCAGCAGTCTGCATACAAATAAGCCTTATCTGTAAAACATATGTGCAAGCAAAACTCAAATTTTGGAACAAGACTAAAGTCCAGAAGTGGAAAAACAACCAGAACTTTCTGCTGGAGTTTACAGCTGTTGAAACAAACATAATGATTATTTCATTATGTATATTTTTATATAAACATAACATGCAATGGTGGTCTGAAAGATTATTGCTTGGAAAGGCCAAAGTAAGATGGGCCTGAATGCCCAAGTTTGTAACCCTTCGAAAATAAAGTTTGTTTGTTCTCTCTCTCTCTCTCTCACTTTCTCTATCTGTGTGTGTGTGTCTCTCTCTGTCTCTCTATCTGTGTGTGTGTCTCTCTCTATGTCTCTCTGTTTGTGTGTTTCTCTCTCTGTGTCTGTCTCTCTGTATGTGTATGTATCTCTCTTTCTCTCTATCACTCTATGTGTGTGTGTGTCTCTCTGTGTCTTTCTCTATCTCTGTGTCTCTCTCTGTATGTGTGTCTCTCTTTCTTTCTATCACTCTGTGTGTGTGTCTCTCTGTATGTGTGTGTGTGTGTATATATATCTCTCTCCCCCCTCTCTACCACTTCTGTTTTATTGTTGTTAATTACTTGTTCCACCCAAAGCTATACTTGAGGCTAGCTACTGCCAACGCCCTGGACTGTTCGAGCATCTCCCAAATCTGATTGAGGCATTGCCCACCACACCCCGAGCTCCAACGCTCTGCTTTTTCTTCTTCTTCACTTCATTTTGTTTATTGTTTTGGGGTCAGTGACATATAAAGTTCTGCTTGCTGCACCTAACTTTTTTCATCAGAATTATGCATGAGTAAAAATAGCCAAGTTTGTACTTTCAGAACGGGAAAAGAAACAAGTTCGTTTTCATGAATCGGTAGACAAAGACTTAAGACAGAAAGAGAGAGGTGAGTTATAAGTAAAGTCAGTAAAAGTCTTATTTCGTGCCACTAGCAAATAGGGAATATGGTGCTTGCCTCTTATTTTTGTGGTCCACTCAGCACACATGGACAGTATGGTCAGCATCATACTAGCTGCCTTTACTTCTCTTTTCTGTCCTGGTCGGCCTATTGCCTTGTAGCATTACTGTTCTCAGTAGTACACTCTTTCTACTGTCTGATTTTTGTTCCATTTTGACAGTTGACCAAACCATTTTGATTCTTTAATCTATGAAATCATTTACTTGTACTGTGCTTTCTTTGTTCTTAGTTCTTGACTCATGACTCTATCTTCTCTTGTTTTTCCTGCCACATTTCTTATACACTGACCTTGGCTCCCAGGTCGACCCAGCCTTGAGTGGGTACCGGGAAGTAAAGGCTGCCAGCGTGATGCTGACCACATCACCCATCTCGTGCCGATTGGTCTATAAAAATATAGGTCTAGCCTTATATGCCCTATACACCTAAAGGGTCCTTTTTTAAATTTTTTTAAATTTCTTATGCATCTCATCTCACATGTGGTAATTTTGTTTTTCTAGGACTGTCCCAATTTGGCATTACTATCACAAAAGTTGTACGAATAACGCATTTATCTGCTGCTTTTCATTAAATGGGACTTTCAAATGCCTGATGCGCTAGTGGCGTCAAAGGTGAAAGGGGTCTTTAACAATTTTTTTGCAGCCTGTATCTTCCAGGTGAGAATAAATGGCCTCAGCCCGTACAGACCACTTTCATCTGTAGACATATTCATGATTGTTTTACAATTTGTGTCTAATCTAAAGTTTTCTGTCAGAGGATGAAGCCAGTAACTCTGGTGTTAATAAGCTCTTTCTTACATCATGCTTTTTAGCTTACATTGTCACTGTTCTTTGCTAAAATCAAGAAAAAGATGCACAGAACAAATGAAAACTAAATTAAAGATTGGGGATTCAACATTTTTTCCATGTGCACTGGCACCATAGAATACTGAACCTGTGCTACAATGGAGACCAAGCTCTATGGATTTGTAGAAGAATGCATCACAACACGGTGTCATAGAGGCCTGTGGCCTTCTCATCTGAAACCTACTGGGAAGGAGAACAAAAAGCAGAAGGTTTGTTGGTCCTGGCAATATCCTTGCAGACAGGATTTGAATTCCCCCCCCCCCCCCCCAAAAAAAAAAACCATGGTAAGTATGTATGAGTATGTGTATAGTTTAGAATGCCAGAGCTGTTTGATGGTTAATGCAAAGAAAGTTGTTTAAATTGATGCTATTCATGCTAAATTGAGTTAATAATTGTAAGTTTTATATACTTCAGCAGAAGAGAATGCATCAGTGACAAGGATGTTTATTCATCTGGCCATTTTTGTTGTCATCATGGCCTCCATGGGCTTGTGGTTTTACTGTTTGATGGACAAGACTCAGACTTGCCAGGGCATTGTCCTGCAGTTCCACAAGTGGCTCAGGGCAGTCAAGTCCTACTTTCGTCCATTTTCCAGTACCTGATGGACGAGCCAGCCACACCTGGACATTACAGCGTGGAAAATGTTTGTTTTAGAGGCAGTTGTAAATAGTTTTAGCCAGCTGTAAGCTTCTTTCTGAAACATTAAAAAGAAAACACATACATAGTTTTGTTGTAAATTAATTAACCAGAAAATTCAGGTATGCATTAGAACCACTATGAGAATAAATTTAAAACAAAGGGAAATAGATATCCACTCTTTCAGTACCCAGCAATTGTTTTTATTTAACCCTTTCTATTAAAAGAAGAAGGCGTCCGCGTGGCTTAGGCGTTGTGAGTCGGACTCGTAATTCCAACGTACCAAGTTCGAAACCCACTGCTGGCTGCATGGATTTTTATTATGGTATGGGGCGTCGCAGGTCAGTCCAGCCAAAAATGACTACCAGGATGTGTGTCCTGAGAAAGTAAAGACGGCCGGCGTAATGCTGACCACATTACTCACCTATTGCCGATTGGTCTGAAAAAATATGGGTGCTCTTACCATATACCCTATGCGCTTAAAAGCGTAAAAAGGGATCTTTACTTACTTACTTAATTACTTATTAAAAGAAGAAGCTTAAAAGCAACAAATGCTTATATTTTAAGGCATTTTGGGACAGAGGTAGTTAAACTAATAATTCAAATGAAAAGGGTTAATATTAATGACTGTCTATGATTGAAGACACCAAGAATATTATTTTGTCTTTATAATGACCAAGAAATGTACGGTCACTTATTTGGTATTGAAAGAGTTATTGAAACTACAAATATGTGATAGTTTTCTTTTGTTTAGTTTCTTATACTGTTAAAGAGAAAGGGTTAATTATTTTCAGTTACTTTTTCAAAGTAAATTTGCTATACCAGGTTACAATAAGGATCTTTGTAAAACATGAATATCTCAGAAGTTATTCATAACACTGTCACTATTGTCTGTAAGTACCACTTTTTTAAAGTGATCTAGACAAGGGGTCGTAAACCTGAGGATTTAAGGAGGTACGGCTAGTGCTGTTGCCATAAACTGTACAGGTAAGGATGTTAAATTTTGCCCCAGACATAAAAACTCCATCACCTTCCTGATGGTTGAACCCAGGTCTCCCGCATGAGAGCCTGATGTTGTAACCACTGGGCCAGCCGCTTCTCTCATTCATTAAACATGGTTACAAATAAGGGAGGCAGAAGAATAAAAGTTAATTGCGTGTTCTTTACAGGACATTGCAGAACCAACCCCAGAATTTTGTGGCTGATTTGGTTTTTCTAGGCAAGTTTACGTCCAGTAGTTTGTCAATGCTTTCTGGACAGTCGGCTTCTCGATACCATGGTCGAAACCAGCGCAAGACCCGCAGCTGGGATTGAACTTGGCATCCCTGCGTTACACAGCGCGTTTGCAACACCTAAGCCACCAATTAGAAGAATAAAACACTTATTTAATGACAAATGCAAAAGGCAAGAGGAATTTTTACAGCACAAGAAAATTAGCGGAATTCAGAGTTAAACCCAATACTAAACTTAAAATATTTAACTGTCAATGTCAAATCATTAGTGGTGAATGGGCTTGAAATATGGAAAACAACATAAAACAGTTACCTGGTACTTGCGCAAAATGTGAGAATTAAATGGTATGATAGAATCACTAATGTGGAGCTTTGGGAGAGAACTAAACAAGTTCCAGAAAGAAAAGATGCTGGCATTAGATAGGACAGTCATTGAGAAAAACTGAAGTGAAGACCCCTTTTCACACCTTTTTGCCTATAGGGTGTATGGGAAAAGCGCCCATATTTCTACAGACCATCAGCAATAGGTGGTTAATGTGGTCAGCATTACGCTGGTCAACTTTACTTCACCAGGAAAGCCATCCTGGTAAATTGTTTGGGCTGGGTCAACCTGCGATGCCCTATACCATGATAAAAATCCATGCAGCCAGCAGTGGGTTTTGATTGCGGTACTTTGGACTCGCAGCGTGTAAGCCACGGACGCCATGAGAAAAACTGAGAACAGTATAATTAGAAGGGCTTTACACTGGAACCCACAAGGATGCAGAAATAAAGACAAACCAAAAGTGCACGGAGAAAGGACCTGGATGGGAAAGTTTAAAAAAAAAATGATGGGGTGAGCTGTATGTGACGGCAAAGGATAGGTTGACTGGGCTTGAGTTGATTGAGGGCCTATGCTCCATTGGGAGATAAAGGGCAGAGTAAGAAGAAGAGGAATGACATGTAAATATACATGTATGGTATACAATATATACACTGATATAGAAAATATATAACTATACCAACAATTAAAGACATAAGTAGTGAGGGCAGTACAATTTATAGAACATGATACTTCAAGACTATTATAGACAGTAAAATGTTTGCAGTGGATAAAACATTAAACTGTTCACAGGGTCATCATAACAAGATTACAGAATATTTCAAATAATTGAGTGGAAATATTAGCAGAGTTACTGTTTCCAACTAACTTTTCATCTGTTATGGCATTTTATGCTGTTTTCAATTTGTCTGTTATAAGCTAATGTCTTCATAACATCTGTTTTTGTGTGTACGTTTGTGAAGTACTTAAACAGCAAAAGTATTTTCGGCACTTATTATCAAGGCATAGTCAAGTAAATAAAGGACTCCTTTTACACCCATGCTGCATCTGGCATATGATGCTAGACATTTATTTTTAGAAGCCGATTGGTAAGCATGACCAACACCATGCCAGTCATCTTTGCTTCCTATGATATTACCCCGATACCCATTCAACTCTTTCAGTCCCAAAGAACACATCATAGATTCCTACCTGGAAACCCAGTGAAAGCAAGATGTGCCGATTTTACGACTCTCTATACTACCTCTTGGGCCTCTGAGGCTAAACCCCCATGGGACTGAAAGCGTTAAGGCTGGATTGACCTTGGGGCCAAAGTCAGTTTTGGAAGAAAGAAAAAACTGACTTTATGTTGATTCGAACCCAAGACCCTCAGGTTGGTAGGCAAGCAGTCATGCCATATGGCTCATTATAATTTTACATCAGCACTATCCATAACACTGCATTCTTTGGAAATATTTGACATACAGTAAAACAGTTGTCATAACATTTTCCCTGGGAAGTAAAGGTGGCCGACATGATAAAAATATGAGACTTTACTGCGTTTACAAACTGGTTCCGATATTGAGAAAAATTTACCTCAGTTGTATTGGAATATAAATGGATAAAATTATTCATTAATATTTACTTAATTCTCAGTGTTATATGTGATTTGTCCCCGCACAACAAGTAATTAGAATGCATTTTTGTTTTCAAGGTATATAAATATACAATGATCCTTGCTGGATAACCTTTCAAGAGTTATACAGCACAAAGTTCTAATGTAACAAATTGACCTTTGACAGAACACATGTTTCTAGTGTTTGATGTAAATTCCACAGCTGGTATGGTATGCTGAAAGTGTCTCAGCACTCTAAAATTAGTGTGCTGGATCATTTCCAAGTATGTGGAAAGTTGCAAAGACGTGAATTATGTGTTTAAGGTTAGGGCTAGGGCAGTTCGCGCACTACTGTTAAAATGTGTCTTGTTACCTAACTAAAACTATACATGTGATGAAAATAACAAAGAAAGTGATTGTTTTGATACATCTGGGCAGTCTAAATATTATTTATATATAAAGCATTAAGGTCAAGAAGAAGATAGGAGCCCGTGCAAAAAAAAAAATCCTGTTCCAAGGATAAGCAATTACTGACCAATTATCGAAAATACAACCCCACGAATTAAAAAACACTATAGTATCATATTTCCCATGCCCAGTGAGCTATGGTGTAAAAGGGTCCTTTATATTTATTTACTTTGCATAAGATTCTCAATGTAAGTAGATAAAATCTGTAGGCATCCCAGTGCAAGAGTTGCCTACTGTTTTCACCCCAGTACTATCTGCAGGACAAGGATGTGTACTTACTATCATCTGATTTGTTTTGATTATACAGTGATATATAATGAGATCTATCACGGTTATGCCAGGAGTTGTTATTAGTGGGTGTAACATAAACAGCCTACGTTATGCTGATGACACTGTCTTGGTGTCGAAAAGAACTACAGGCATTGATAGATACGTTGGTGGTAGAAAGAGATACAAAAAACTATATTTGTTTTATCAACCCTTCAGGTGACTTAGAAACCTGTTGACATGCTTATAGTGACATTTTATTGGTGTTCTGAAAGTGAAATATTCAAAATGAGAGTGATTTGGTATTTTATAAGATAGTATATGTGAAGATAATATATGGTTTTTTGTTCTAAACTGGAAAATTAGACTGTGGCTACATCTGCTGAGGTCATTGATCTGGCTTTTTGGTTGGACTTTCAGCAAAATATAATTCAACCAGTTGTACACATTGACCATCTGTTCAAACAGTCTTCTTTTGTGTTTTTAGTGACCACTTGTTATGTGTTCTTATGCTTGCAAATTCTGATTGCGTGAAGTTTGTGGCTCTCCTTTAGCAAGTTGAAACTGTTTCTTCTTCTTTTTGTTTTCTCCTTCAGCATTCTGAACTCCTGAGATTTATTGCTGCAGATATAATCTTTCTCCATCCGTCTGTGTGATTTCCTTCTCTCTCTCTCTCTCTCTCTCTCTCTCTCTCTCTCTCTCTCTCTCTCTCTCTCTCTCCCTCTCTCCCTCTCTCTTTCTCTCTCAGTTGTTCTAAATGGCTCTGATATTTAGAGTGCAGTTAAAAGAAGAAGTTAAAAAGCTTTTTAAATTCTCAGTAGGCAACTGTCTGTGAATTAGTTGTAGCAGTTATACTGAAAAATCAGTTTCATCCTGGTATGAATTTGTTCTACATTTTCATTCTATATTGTATATTGTATTTTTTGTATCGACTTTGGCTAAAAGAATTGATTATTTGGCAATCCTGCTAAATGAAATCTGTATTATATTATATCAGCTGTAATGTATTTCTTTCATCAAATGCTGTGCCAGATATCAAAGACATTCGAGTTTCTCCATAGATCTTGGTTCATTGTCTGAACC